GAAGATTAGAGAAGTAACTTGCAAGAGGCCATGCAGCTATTAGATGGGCAGTCAGTTTTGAGCCATGGCTTGTTGGACTCCAAACCACTCCAAGCTACCACCTACAGTTCTGATCACCTGGCTTTGTTTGCTTCCAAAATTAAAAAAAATCTGCTAAACTTATTGTAAACTCAGGTTAAAAAACAACTCCTAGGGAAAAGATTAATAAAATTTTCTTCTGTAATTTTTCTGTTCCTTTTAACAAGGGAACCTTGGAAGTGAAAGCTCTGTCCAGCTGCGGGTAGTAAAGGGCTCTGAGGTTAACCTTTCATCTTCCCTTTTCCAGGAAACAGTTGTTTCTGGGGAATTGCTTGCTCTTGGGATTGGGACATACTTTGAAAGCTGGAGTGCAATGGGCAGCTTCAGCTTCTACAGAATTCTAAGAACAGTCCAAAATTGAAGGAATATCTGCAGTATGAAACACAAAATGGTTCAGTGCAGTCAGGAATGTTGACTACTTACTCCTGTTTCACTTACCTTCAAATATAACTTCAAAGTTAAATGACTGTGCAACTAACTCTGTAGCCACTATTTCCCTAAAAAACTATTCAAAAATGGCATTTTGTAGATTTTTTATAAAATTCCATAACTTGCCCCCTGGGAGACTCCTTTGATTTTTCACATTGATATGAACTGAACTGTAAATGTCAAAAGTCCTGCTTAACAGAACATAAGAATCTTCTCCCATTTTCCAATAACTATAAACCAGAATTTAACTCTTTCTATTTCAATGAGCCAAATTAAGAGGAAAGAAAACCTCCTCACTGGTCTGTAGCAAGGGGGACAATAGGCACTCCAAGGTATGCTGCCCCTCTCTTTCTCCACATTTTACCTTGGCCCAGAAATGGCACCCCAGAGCCAAAATTTTCTAAACAATCTAAAAATTTTCCTCTTCTTTTTTCTCTGTACCTTGCGTATTAGCTTTAATAAGAATGCTGATAACTTTTTAAATTACCTTTTTATTATGGAAAATGTCAAACATACATACAAAAGTAGAGAGAAACGTATAATGAACCATCATTTAACCATCACCCAGTTTCAACAATTATCAAGGCCAATTTTGTTTCATCAGTATCTCCAAAGCATTTAACATCCAGACTTAGTATTTTTAAGCAAATTCCAGACATAATTTCAACTGTGAATGTTTGAGAATATATCTCTAAAAGATAACAAATGTTTTCAACATAACTACAATACCATTATCCCAACTAATATCAAGCCAATTTTCAAATTATCTGGATTGTCTTATAAATGTATATTATAGTTTGGTCAAATCAGCGTCCAAAAAAGATTCATGTTACAATTGGCTCATATGTCTCTTAAGTCTCTTTTAATCTATAGGTTCATTCTCCCATTTCTTTCTTTCATCCAGGCCATTCATTTACTGAAGAAACTGGGTCATCTGTTCTGTAGAGTTTCCTAGTCTGGATTCTGCTGATGTCATCTCTCTGGTGTATGCTTCTCTGTTCCCTGTATTTTCTATAGATTAGGAATTCTGTCTAGAGGCACGGTCAGATTTAAGACCAAAATTTTGGCAAATATATTTCATAGGTGGTGTAGTATACTACCATCAGGAGGCATATAATGTCTCAGATGACATAGACATGAGTAAAACTTTTTGCTAATATCTCACAGATGCCTTGAAATACTTGACACCTGATACACAAAAGCCACATGAATGTTAGGTATTAGATATTAGATAAAAGGCATTTATTGTACTAACATCAGACTAGGTTAATGCTTTACCACTCAGTGTAGCTATAAAATATTAGACAAATCTTCAGTGATTTCTACCATATTTCAAGTCATGTCTTGTATTCTAGATATATAAAAAAACTAAGGAAATAATGTCCTTGCACTCAAGGTCATATAAGTTGGTGGGAAATACACATAACCATAAAAGCACAAAAAAGGCCACAGGTGCCAAATTAGAAGTCTGTAGATACAGTGGTAGTGCAACAACTTGGAGAACTGTCATTGTAATAAACAGGAAAGGAGTGTCCAAAAAGCATAGGATGAGCTGTGTTCTTGACAGTATGAAAGAGCTCACCCATGCTTCACAATTCCATTCATCATTGGGTTCATATACTTGATTCTTTCAAAGTAAATCTGAAAAAAAAAGTCTCATTAATAGTTTTATTGGTTCATCAATTTCTCTAGTCAGCAAATATTTATTGAAGGTCCACTATGGTTAATTAGCCCCTTTTTATTGGAAAAGCCTTCGGTGAATTATCCATTGCAGATCCACTGTGAGGCCAGATGAGAGCCTGAAGGAGTAACAGATTGTCCCAGTTAACATATGAAGCTAAGAAATCAAGATTACACTAGTAGACATTTCTAATCTCTGGATCAATGACAAATGTCTTCAAATTTTAGCACTGTTCTATACTGTGAGGATATGGGCAGGAATCAGGCTGGGGCCTAGTCCTCAAAGAGTTCACAGTCTAACAGGCCAACAGTCATTCAGTGAGATGGTCACAATATTAGAATGATGCTGAAAATATTTCCTGGTTTGCTTGGTGCTTTCACAAAAGGAACTCTGAAAAAGAAAACTCTGGCCAGCTGTTAGTATGGTAGTCTTGAAAGCCTTATTTTCACCTCCCTTTTCCCAGTAAACAACTATTGATGGGGGAATTGTTCTTTCTTACAATTGGGCTCCACTGTACGTGAAGTGAGAGGAGCAGCTTTAGCTTCACAGTCCTATAAACCACCTGTCCCAGAAGGTCCCTCTAATGTTGCTGTTATTGTATTTCACAAGCTGCTTGTTCCTGCTCTTACACATCCCCCCCCCAAATATTTATTAGATGTTTCTAAATTGTTGAAATCTGTACACTTTTCTTAAATGAAAACTTACTCCATGTCTTAAAAGTTATTTTAAAGGTAAGAAGAGGCACTTGTACAGTTGGGAAAAATACCCTTATAAAAACATGCTGAAAACAAATTTTTACCTCATGTCTGAAAGTGTTAATTATCATTGATCAATGCACTGTTTTCTGGAAAGGATATACGTGGAAAGATTCACCTGTACATTTTTAGTGCAATCACCACATAAGTAATGCATGGGTGCTATGTAAAGACTCTGTAAGTAGGAAATCCCAACTGAGTATATAGACTCAGTTGGAGGATGGAGTATATAGACATCATTCCATTTGTTAGCCTCTGTCTGAACTGTCTTAGTCTGATTTTTAAAAAATTTTTCTTTCAAAATAAAAGGTTTTCATTTAATATTTTTAGACTAAACTCTAGAAGTATATATACCAAAAACTGCCCATGTGAGTTTGAAAACATAACTTACAGTGTGATAATTATATTCTGTTGCAATTCAGAAATGAAAGCCTTGGAAGTTTTACAAATTGCGTAAATTGAAGGTATTTAGGCAATCCAAATATTTCCTTTCCAAAAAAGATTTTATTTACTTATTTTTAGACAGAGGAGAAGGGAGAAAAAGAGGGAGAGAAACATCAATGTGTGGTTGCCTCTTGTGTGCCCCCTCCTGGGCATCTTGCCTGCAACCCAGGCATGTGCCCTGACTAGGAATCGAACCAGTGACCCTTTGGTTTGCAGGCCGGGCATTCAATTTACTGAGCTACACCAGGCAGGGCCAAATATTTCTGAATAAAATACAACAAATACAGGCTAACAACTCTTGAGTTCATTAACATCAACTTTCACATTTGTCAGACACATAGCATAGAAGTCAAAGCACAGGACTGTGCATTATTATCCCTAAGAATGCCATTCACAAATTAAACCTTCCAGGTATTTGTGGCAGCATTTTAGATGAAATTTTACATATGGAACAGCTGCAAAGAAATAATTTATTTTCTGTGCAGTTAGTGTATATGTACTTTGAAAATCTCAGGTTACTGAGAATATCTGCTAATTGAGTTGGAATAGAAAAGGTCAATTCTTAGTTTGTTTTTTAAAAAAGATGTCTGTACAAAGAAACATAACTTTTGAAAAACATTTCATAATTCTGCATATTTTAGAATATGAAATTATATAATTGACTTTTAAAAGCTATTCATTTTTTACACTACTCATTCCTTTGAAAACATTTATTGTTAACTACAATATGTACTTTATTTAGATATTTATATATGGCAAAGATGCTATTTTAAAAACAAATTTAAAAAATTCAATTCTAAGAGGGAGTTACCAGTCAATATGTATTACAAAACAAAAAAGTCAGGAAAGAAGTGATACTAGTTTTGCAAAAGGGGGTGGGTCATCTAAGACAAAAAAAGTCCTGAATTCCATGTTCTAACCTCTAGGCTCCTGGAAATAATTCAGGCTGCTTCCCACCCACCAAAGAGCTTGCGGTCCAGTGGCCACACGGCCATGAAAGAGATAAGCACAATAAATTGTGAGAACCATGACACACACAGAAGAGAGTATCTTAGCCCAGGTGGTCAGGAAAGGCTTCTCATAGAAGTTTATGAACTATCTATTTTTATCCTCTCCAATTTTCTATTTAAAAAACTGAGCATCAGATAGGTAACTTGGCTGAAGTGACAGTGAGCGAGAACTAGAACCAGTTTTCAACCCTAGATCTGTCTGACTTCCAAACCCCAATGTAGTTTCTATCACACCAAACTCACTCTCATAAAAATGTCATGTTTTACTTCAGTCACTTTTCCATTTCTCATAGTGCTGTTTGCCCATGAACATTTAAAATCTGCTAACTACAGTACTAGCAGTTTATCGGGAGACACGCCTGGGGAACAAAAATAGTTCTAGAAGAGACTTAAGTATTTTAGATGAGAGTCCTGATGACAAGCAAGTATGGAGGCAAATGAAATGAAAAGATTGTCGCCCAAGATAAAAACGTTTATTCTGAACCTTTAAGAGAGAATGTTTACGTGTCCTAACATTTTGAAAGTCTGTAACAGCTGAATATCAAGAAAGGTACCTCACTCAACTGGGATGTCCTCATCACCATAGAGATCCCATTCCTGTGGTTACTGGTAGTCAGGAAGTTCATCTGGAACGTTGCTAAATTCAAATACATGAAATAACTTTCTTTCAAAAACTAGTTTATGTTAAGGAAACCACGGTTGTTCTAAGGGTGTTGAGAAAGGGGCATTGGGTGTTGGAAGTTGAGCATGCTACACCATACTCTATGAATGAGAGTTTTCCTGGTAAGATATATGGATGTGCTTGGCTAACAATACCTTCCTGAGAAATGTCTACTCTATAAAGTAATATTGTGTGAAGCTACATATGGGCTACACGGGGAATGGCCATTTCAAGCAAGCAGTCAAAACTTACCAGCGTGAACCATTTTTGCAAATCAAATTATGTACATATGAGTAGAGAAATTTCTGAAAAGGGCAAACTAGATCACATTTCTGAAAGAAAAGTGTTGAGTACGGCAAGAGCACAAGATGTCAAATTTCTTAAATCACTTTTTAAAATTCAAAACTGATCATTTAAACCAATTCGCACCACAAGAAAGGCTTGCTGACAAGGGCCAATACTGTGAACGCGGAAACAACTTAGAAGAAAATTAATGGCAGATGTCAGACAACCAAGGTGATCGCATTTTACATGGCTTCTCTACAAAACCACAAGACTGGTACCAAAACCGCGAATGTACACACGCACACACAAGCACACACAAGCACACACACCCCCCTCCTCCCAACGGCTGAGTGAGCAGTGAAGGCACCTTTAAAGAAAACCCATGTGGTTTAGGCATTCTGAACTATGTTAAACGGCGCTACCAAGAAGCGATTCTCAAAGCATCTGAAAAACGTGCAAATTGTCCGAAAACAGTGGCCGGCAACTGAGACAGTTTGCAAGCGTGATTCAGAGGTCTGCCAAGGAAACAAAAGGAGCCCCCCTCCCCCCGGGAAACCCGCACAGGACACTGGAGGCGCGCGGACACTAGGTGTTCTAGGGCAGGCGGGAAGCAGAGGGGGTCTGTGCAGGAGCGGTACATACTAGGGGTCGCTCCCGGGCACGGACGGGGCCACGGAGTTTCCATTGGTGGGGGAACCGCCCAGCTTTAGTTTCTCCAGGTATTCGGCATGCACGGGCTTGTGGCACTGGAGGACCTTGATGGCATCTTCGACTTTGAACCACTCTCGCTTCCTCCCAATGCTCGCCGAATCTTCCCAATCCTCCAGAATCTCAGTGACAGTCAGGACGTACACGTACGTCCTGTGCTTGCGATCTTGGTTCTGTTCGAAGACGCCCAGGAGCCGGCCTAACTTCCCCTTGACTCCCGCCTCCTCGTACACCTCTCGGACGGCGGCGCCGCTCGGCTCTTCCTCGGGCTCCATGCCCCCGCCCGGCACGATCCAGCGGTCCGGGTACCGGCTGCTGCTCACTAGCAGCACCTCGTCCTCACGCTCGCTTCGGAAGCACAGGCACGCCGCCCGCTTCTTGAAGCCCTCCGGGTCGTAGGTCCGCGTCTGGTTCGGCTTGCACTTCATCCTCCAGGCCGCCCGCTCCCGCGCTCGCTGCTGCTCTGGTCGCCGCGCCGCCGCCGCCGCCGCCGCCGCCGCCGCCGCCGCCGCCGCCGCCGCCGCCGGACGAGGTGCTGAGGAGAGAAAAGGCCGCTGCGAGGGGCGGGGAGAGAGAGGCGCCTAAGCACGGGAGCCCCGAGACTAAGACAAGATGAGGCGGGGGCGGGGCGGGGGCGGGAACGGCAAAGACGTCAGTCAATCCGCCCCTCCGCGGCCGGGGTCCCGAGCACCGAAGTCTGCGTGGAGGAGGCGCCGTAGCCGCCGCCGCCGCCGCCGCCGCCGCCGCCGCCGCCGCTCAGGACCGCCGTTCTGCACGCAGCTCCTGCGCGCGTCGCCCCCTCCTAGCCGCCCCGGAGGTGTAGAGGGAAGTGAGGCGCCTTCGCGTGCGCGTGCGCGTCCCTTTCCACGTGCGCGTTCCTGCCGGAGGGCGAGGGGCGGGGGCGGGGGTCTCGCGGCTCCCGCAAGCGCGGCGCCTCGGGCCCACTGCGCAGGCGCCCCGCACATCTCGGGCTGGGAGTCTCCTTCACGCGGAGTTAAATTCACCGCATTGTGACTTGGGCCCGCACTGTTTCCACGTGTGCCCTGGCGCTAAACGTGGCTGTGGCGTCACGGGACGTTTCCCCTCACTGCCCACCAGGTTCACGAAACACACGGGCCCTCATTCTCCACACAGTAGGGTCAAGTGCATCTTCATCATCGCCCATAGTGGATGGTACCGGCTTATTTATACCAAGGTCCGCGTTTGTCAAAATGATTCTGGGTATTCTTGGATCAAGCTCTTACCTAATCTTCGCTGAGTCATATCGTGCAATTTTCTTCAACAGATTCTTCACCTTGCCAGGCATCTTGGCACAACTCATAACTTCACACTTTACTTCAACCCCTACTGACATCTTACCTCCCCTTGTTTCTCCGTTTCTTCATCGGTAAACCCCTCGCCTACTTGCATTTGAGTCATACCCACCCAACAGCTGGAGAACTACCCAAAGTAGTGTTTTATTAAATCCCAAGAATCTCCATCCTCTGCACACTCCACTCTTCTCTCTCTGATGAGCACTGGTTAGGGTTTTGGAAAACGTGCCTGTGGGAAATCCCTTCCTAGTCTACATATTGATTTTTAGAAGCCTCCTGGCGTGGAACTGCAGCAAGGCCACTTGGTGCTCTCGCACCTCTCTGGTCATCCTGTCCTCTAGGCCAAGCAGTCCACCCGGCCCCCCAGCCAAAAACTCAACAACCTAAAGCTTTCCCTCTCCTTTGAAAGTTTTGTATTGTACTAACAGTAGTAGTAGCCTTATGGAGAAGACCTCTGATGTCCCAAAACTTTTGCCATATTGCAATTTAGGCATCTTTGTCTCTCTCTTACCAACAGACACTCCAGCTGGCATCAGGCAAGCAGGATCACCAAGACTCACCCCTTCAATGAAATGATTCCTTCATCAAGTGGAAATCTGCTGAGATGTAAGTGAAAAGGAGTTATGAAACATACAGTCCAATTTTTAAATAACACGTTAGTTCAGCTTCCCAGGGTCTGCTCCACTCCATTTATACCCAGAATAGCTCATAAAAACAATCCCGTTCTCAGCAGCAGCAGACGTCTGCAATGTCTAGAGCATAATACGAAAAAAGTGTATGGGTGGTACATGAAGAAAATGATTAAATGGAGACATAAAGAGAGTGACTTCAACCAATAAAGACAGCACTGCTACTGACCCTATTTTAGTGATCTACAGGTGATCGAGAGCCTATGAAGGAATGAAACACCCCATGATTAAAAACAAATGAGGAAAGTAGATTTTAGCAGGCTGTATGTCTCAGTGTGCCCATACTAACAAATACACAAGTGCTGTTAAACCACTAGAAAAAAATCTGTTACAATCAGGATCTAGGCAAGTATACCCATTATCACCTATATCACCAAATACTGTTTTAAGTGTTCTTTCCTGTGTAATGAGATCATAAAGAGGAAAAAGTCTATCGTTTTGGTAAAGAAAACAAAATTGTCATTATTTGCAGATGATATGGATGTGTTCTTGGGAAACAGCTCAGACACACTGTAAATATGAAATTCCCTTAAACGGTAGAATGGAATAGTGATATCTAAAATACCAAGAGCTTTCATGTGTGCCAGCAATAGTCATGTGTAAAATTAGAATGGGGGAATGACATTCGCAGTAGCAATGTCAACCACCCCCAAATAAATTGTACCAAGGGAGCCTAACAATGTGGTTAGGACATTGTAGTAGAGAATGATAAACTTGTACTCAGCTTTGAACGATGATTTGAATAAAGCAGAAGGAACTCTAGCTAAGGAGGGAGATTGGGCTGATGTCTGGGCGGAGGAATGGTCCACCCAGGCCCCGGCCATATCACAAGTCTACTTCACAATTACCAGGCACTTTCTCCGGTGTCTCACCAGAGGGGCCGTTGTCTAGTTTATTCCATCACTTCTACGTCAGATTATGCCTATGCAATATGCCTCTGCTGGAGCCATGTTTATTGGAGGAGAGAGGAATAGCAACATTATATTATGGAAAGGGGTACGGGCTGGATTCGTACTGGCAAAGACATACATAGCATGTTACTGGATAAAGCGATCCACAACTCACAGGTTTAGTACATTGTCAAGAAAAATTTGAACTTAGTTCATCGCCCCCCCCCGCCAGAATTTCATCCAATAATTTTATCATCCACCTATTAGGATAAGGGCAAGATAGTTATGACTATTTCTAAAGAAGGATGAAAATCCTTTTTGAGACTAGCATTCCCCGACCCGGTTTGTACACAGTTAAGTATTTCTCCAGTGATGAACAAGGTCATTTGATGAACCACCGTAACAGCAGCCTGTTACAGTAACAACTGCAGTTTGCAGATGCCTGCCAGTATGTCCTCCCACATTGTCCTTGGTGTGGGAAACGGAACTTCCTTTGTCCAGAGGGACGATAGCAACTGTGAAGCAAGCAGAGAATTGAAAAGTGCCTGCGCACTGGAGTTCGCCCTCTCTTGCTTCTCTTCGAACATGACGACAACAATATGAAGAAGCCTGGGCTAGGTGGATGATGAGAGACCCATGGCTCATGCGTGCCCTTCACCCCAGCTGACAGTGAACCCAATGCCAGAAATGTGGGTGAGACCATCCTAGAGCATGAGCCGCCCCCAGCAGAGCCACCTAGCTGACAGGGCACTGACCACAGAAGCCTAAGTAAGCCTTCTGAGAACAGCCTAAGTAAGCCTTCTGAGAAGCCTTCTGAGCACTCAGCTGAGCCCAGCCGAAACTGTTGAGGTGCAAAATTGTGAGGGCACAAATTGGTGGTTCTTTAAAGTCACTAAGTTGGGGGTGGTTTGTTATGCATCGAAAGCTAGCTGATATAACCATTAACTGCCATCCATCAATATCCAGCTAGAAATAAAGAGAGAAAATATTTTTCACGGTAGAAATCTCACACCTGCTTGAAGAGGTTGACATTGAACTTTCCCTGGAGTCAGAAAAAAAGGGATGAGGTCAGGACAGGTAATACTTGCTGTGTACAGTCTATGTGCCAGGCCCTGTGTTGAGCCCTGTATCCTTTTTCACTGACAGACAATTGAGTCCATGTCATAGAAGAGAGGGCTTAGAGTGGAGTTTGCATTGGAATTCGAGTCTTCATGCCTCTCTAGTGTGTGCACTCACAACATCACCATGTCTTGTCAAAAGGATTATTTTCATCAAGAGCTACATTGTGCGCACGTGCGTGTGTTTGTGTGGCATTCTTTGATGACATTCAGAGTCGACTGCTTAGGTAAGGCGTTTATTTGTTCAGGGTCACTGAGTTCAAAGATAGTTGCGTTTTCATCTGGGCGTTCTTGCACAATATAGCGAAAAGAACACCTGAGTGCCTATCTCACTCTCATCCATTAAGTGCGGCACCTTGACGTGTTACTTAAGTCAAGTTTATTCCCCCCCCCCCCCCCGCAAGCATAAAATGGGATTAAGTGATACGGAAGATACTCTGTTTTGTCAGCACTCCCAGTACTGATTTTGATTTATTGATGGTCTACTTTATTTTTCCACACTTAATATTTATTTACCAGCAAATGTGAAAAATGAGTATCAAGATCCCACTGAAACAGATTAAGAAACAGGCTGAGATGGGTTCAAGTGAGTAAGACAGTAAGTGATGGAGCTGAGTGAGATTCACACCTTGGTCTGCCTGACTCCAAAGGTCATCTTCTTCCATTTATCATGACAAGTGTCACGTGTATTGAGAGTCGCTGAGATCCACGGTACATGCCATTGCATTGCTACCGACTTCCTCCTCTCCCATTTTTTTCCCCCTAGAATATCCAGGCACCCAAGGGAACATAGCTTCTACGTCATGTGTCATGGTCCAGATGTGCAGTCAAGGGTGTGAATGCAGCAATGGAGGGATGAGAGTTTTCACTCTCTCAAAGAGGCAGCACTCGCTGATTCCTGGGGCTTCTTTGGTCACTACCTCAGGTTCCCTGACTGTGGTGTCACTGACTGACTTTTCACTGACACTGTCCCCTCTGTATCAGCACCTCTCCAGTGCTCCCCTGTTCCTGCATCAGGGTCAAGTGTGAATCTTCACACAGCCCTTTAAGGCCCTACAAGATCTGGGCGCTGTTTCCTCTTAGACTCTTTTTTTAAAGTTTTTATTTATTTACTTTTAGAGAGAGGGGAGGGGAGAGAGAAAGAGAGGGAGAGAAACATCAATATGTGGTTGCCTCTCACACGCCCCCAGCTGGGGACCGGGCCCGCAACCCAGGCATGTGCCCTGACTGGGAATTGAACTGTGACCCTTTGGTTCGCAGGCTGGCACTCAATCCACTGAGCCACACCAGCCAGGGATCCTCTTAGATTTTATCCCTATGATTCTCCGCTTCAGTTGCTCATCCCCAAAGCATGTGGACTCTTGCAGTTTTTGGATTGTGTCAGCCAGGCTCCCTCCTTAGGACCTTTGCTTTAGCTA